CAGGGAATTCGTAGGTGTTCAGCATACGCAGTGATGGCGCGACAGATTTCGTCGTAGTCGCTGCTTATAAGCACCTTATAGCCGTTTTCTTCATACCTCTGTAAAAGTAGTCGTTGACTCTCAGAAAGTTCCCCGGTGCCTTTTGGGGTCTTCAGCTCTATACAGAATCCACGGTAATGGGTGTGCGCATTTAAGATAAGCAGGTCGGGTTGACCTTTTTGGTAGCCCTTCTGCCAGCACTTTATGCGCTTCCCACCCGAGTCCTGTAATTCTCCTAGGCCAGGGGTTACGAGCATTTGGGGGTAGAATCTACGAATGTAGTCAACCACTTTCTTATGTAAGTCAAACTCATTTTCGATCTTAAAGACCAGTTTGTTTGGACTGTCAAAGCGCTTTTCGATTTCATACTTACCCACCTTTCTTAGCGCGGGAAGAACGTCTTCGAAGACCCAATCCTGAAATGCCTCTGCTGTTGGCAGCTTGGAGCTAAATATTAGCTTGTACAACCCGGGCTCCGAAATGAACACGGAATGTGGCTGCGCAGTAAAAGGAGCGGTGATTCGAAGCCCCTTGCAAATCAGCCCATTTTTTCTGGTACTTTTCAGGAACGTGAACTCTAATTGCGTCTCTGGGACGCTCGTAACCCAGCGCTAGCGCCACTTCCTTCGCTTTGAAGTATAGCTTGTCGCCTTGCACTACGCATTGCAGCTTTGTTTCGTTGTTTTCGAAGACTCGTAACATGGTATATCTAAGAAATATTTTAGGGTAACTGAGGCACAAAGTTATCAATAGGCGACGCTTTTCAATTGATTCATTTCCACGCTCAGTTGCGCGTCAGACATCACAAAGATGTACGCGTTCACCTTAAAGTCGGTACCGGTTCCTTTGGTGCGCTTGATTTCCAATGTTATACCATCCTGCGCATTTACTAGACGTAGACCCTGCCCATGTAGGTCTTCGTCGTTGGTCGTGCGCATGTCAATCCATAACGCATACTTATCATTAAAGAATTCCTCAGGGCTAATTTTGTCGCCAAACTTGCGCGCGGCTTCCCGGTACATATCCGCGGGCTTTATCCCCTGGGAGTAAACCTTKTTAGGCACTCCGTTAATACTAACACCTACGTTGGTAAYGTTAGGATTAAAGAATGCCTCAGAGTCTCTACCACCTGCGGTATACGTTTTTGCGAACAGCAACATTAACCCCGTGAGACTTCTTCGTGGTATGTTGATGCTTTGGTTAATAACCTCTTCGACGTTGTTTTGAAAGCTGAACGTCTTGTACATTACTACGTGGTCGTATAGGAATGCCTTTCCAGCGCTGTATTCCATGCCGGCGCTACGAGCCAGCTCTTCACTGTATATCGTCTCGTACTGCAGCTCCAAATTGGTGATGGAGTAAGGAGTCGTTGCGCTAGGCGCAGAGCTTAACCCGCCAATGATGTTATTAATATCTGCTAAGGTTACTTCAAACTGTAACTCGGATAACTGTCTGGGGTAATACGCACCATGATTTGTGATTACTTCAAAGTCCAGTGGTATGACATACTTAGTCCCATAGGCGGTCTTTATTCGCTTTGCGTCTGCTACTGCGGTTTCCCCACTGCCGTCAGTAGGTTGCGTTTTCGTAGGTGTGCGGACCTTACGTAGAATGACACTACCAATTCCTTGTTCTATCCTTTGCGCGCGGTCAAATGCTGTTAACCATAAATCTTTGTAGGTGGTGTATAAATCATATCTATTTAAATCCAGCAAGGATTCCCCAGCAAAGTTGATTCTCATTTTAGAGACCAAGTTGCGACCCACGTTGTTAACGATAATCCTTTCGTCTGCGGTATCTGGCTGCACCGCTAAGTCGAACCTTAACGCTAAGGTGCCGGGTACTAAGACTAGGTTATCCGTTAGACGGGGCACGCCCACGTACAAGGTTTCTCCAGGCTTTGCGCTGCTGGGGGTAAATGTGACCCGGTGAAAGGTCCGTTCTGCCTTTAGTCCGCCAACCTGCTTAGGTAATACGTTGGGGTTTAACTTTGAGCTTATCATATATAATGGAAGAAGAAGGAACTGATTTCGATCCCACCACTGAGGAAGGTAAGGAAGACATTAACGACGGCGACGAAGAACCACTGCTTCCCACCCAACAACCTGACGATTCTCTAATAAATAGAATCACAAAGGCCCTAAGACATCCTCTAACACGCGGAGACATATTGGCGGGAACGTCCGAGCACATAGAGCTAGAGGACTTACGTACCGTAAACTCGGCCATGCAACGACTAAAAGATACGTATTCCAACTTTGACTCAGACGAAGTAAGGCTTACCGAGCGTGGCGGCAGAGTTCTCATAAGCGTTAGGGACATGAAGTTTCAAAACAAGGAACGCTGGACGAAACCACAACCCCTTTTCGATGAGAATGGCGAAGTCATGGTCGCAGTGTCAAGATTAAAAGGCTTTCAAGAGGCCACCAGGAGTATGTTGGGCAGGCTGGAGGCGTTAAACGAAAGGGTCGCGTTAGAAAAACGCGTCGAGGAACTGCAAGAAACGTTGAAAGAAAAGGAAACGAATTACGAAAGACAAATACGGCAGCTAACCGATGCTCAAAAGAAAAAAATCAAGGGCAAGGACGAAGTCATACTGCAATTCAAGCGAAAAGCTGAAACGGCCTTAGACGAAAGAGACCAAGCCC